AAAGAATAAACTCATATCATTACGACTACTTATATCTTCATATATATTTAGCCGTTTGCCTCTTTCGTAACTGCAAATCACATAATCCTCTTAAAGCGTAACTGCCATAAACCATATATTTTACTTAAGCATAAACACGGCATTGTTATCATTCGTCTAACATATCCGTTGCAAAGTAGAATCGTTATACCAAACTTATAAGAGGTAGTTTTTAGGTGTAACAGTACTATTGCCCGAGTTGTTGGATGCTGTGTTGGCCATTTTAGTCACATCCGACTTTGATAATCACAATGTAAAAGTAAGTTTTACAAGTCACAAGTCATAAGGTCATAACTTATATTTAGGCAATAGGTAAAAATTTTTTTAACTATACAATCAGGTGATTTTGACCCGGATCATTCCTTCTCAACCCAGGTAATAGCTCTAAGAAAGAAAAAGGATACGGTGACCATAACTCATCAGGATTATACATTAGATCTAAAATAGCATCAAGTTTTGGCGAATCATTGGGTAATAAACCAAGTAACATGGGGAACAATGATATGTAGCCTTTGTGACAGACATAAATCGATTTCTCTGTAAAGAAACAAATACAACATACGTTATGAAGGAATTAAATAAGAATTTGAATATATTTTGTAATAACATACCTCCATCAAATGAAACATCGCAAAATGTCTTATATATCTCGTTCCAATGCAAATCTATGTCAAAACCAATTTCCTTTGAATCACGATCATGCTTTATTAAACGATTAATTACAACATTTAGATCTGACAACTTCAATTTACCATGTAAATTATTAACGATATTTTTATACTGAACATCAAATTCCTCATAATCATCCCATTCACCTAACCTTTTAGCAAAATTTCCAAGCGACCTTGCCATGAATCCTACCCAACACATTAAATCGACATGTAATTCTGCAGGATGTGGTGGTGTTGGTCTTGGATAATCATCAAGCCCTTTATCAATTACAAAAAAATGTATTAATGCACGATTAAATTTAAATTTATACAAATTCGGTCAATTTTAAATTCAAATATTTAAATAATTCGACTTCAGTTATCATGATAAAAACACAAAAGAAACATAACAGAAACTTGTATATAATTTATATTAAAATTTACCAGAAGTCAATGTATGTCCTGGAGTTCTGCCTCTCCATCTATAAGCTTCTTCGTTATTACTAGCATTTCTGCCCCATTTTTTAATTTCCCCTCGCTGCGTTCTCCTAAACCATTTATAATTTAGTTTTAATCTTGGATATATTTCTTTTAAATATCCTTCTGTCAAATTTATGTCATTAAAATGATGTGTTGAGGCAGAATCGGAATTCGTAAAGTTAGCAATATGACTTGATATGTCTATATCTGGAGAAATTTCGACTGCGATGATCATAAGAAAAATAAGAATTAAAAGAAAATATAAATAGAGTGTGGAAATATAATGAATAATTGTTAGTAAATTCTGAGAACGTAATGTTGTCGATCGAAACTAATTCATCTTGATGTTCCAAAAAATTTATCAAGCCGAAAGCCGAATGTCAGGGTGTCTAAATTATTTTTTTTGATAAATAATTATTTTGGTAATCAGTCTGCCGACATCGGTTTTTCTTAGCTGCGAAATTAATTTTAAAGTTATTAATAGCAATGATGAAATGTTGGCGAAATTACTTTTTTTTTTAAAAAAAAAAAATTCAAACACCCATGTATAGTCAAAAGTCCCCACTTTCTGTCGACAGCATTGATCTTTAACGGAGAAATAATAACAATAGTTACCATTAATTCTATTTTGAAATTTATTTTCATTATCCAAACGATCAAGAAAAGCTTCAAGCGACATGAATAACGTTGGTGGATTGGCATAATGTGGATATTGTGTTTTGCAGTTACGAAAGAGGCAAACGGCTAAATATATATGAAGATATAAGTAGTCGTAATGATATGAGTTTATTCTTT